CAGGGTTAGGAAAGAGGCTAAAATGCTTGCTTTCCCTCAGCCTATTGCTTCCCAGTTGCTTCCTAGAACTCTAGTCATTTTTAGCTATTGTTTCCAAGAAGATGTTGAAATCTTGGTGGGAGCCAGGGAAAGAACTAGAGAACTACCTGCGACAGGTATAAGTGAAGCTAAATAAGAAACATAAGCACCTGGAATTCCAACATGGCACTCACGTGCCTATTTCTGGCCTTTGTAATTTTAAATTTTATTTTAATTTTAAAATGAATAGCAAAGTCTCTACCATCTTTTGATCTAAGACTGTCTCAGCCTGAAATATGGGCTGCCTACAAATTAGCGGGTGGCTGCAAACCACTGCATTGATGGGAAGTGTCCCCACCTGCCCCCTCCAAGTCAAAGTTGGGGCACTAGAGAACTTCCTGGGGTCCTAGTGGTGGGGCTGAAAGCACTCTCATGTCTTCTAAGTGGGTGTTTTGTGATGGACTTCTTCAAACGACAGCAGCCATTTTTTGAGAGGCCCCACAACACAGCCTTCAAAATGCAGCCACCAGCCCTAGCTTACTACAGGGGAGGCAATCTGTTGCCCTCTAAATAATTAGGGCTACGGCTCTCCTTGGTCCCAGCTAGCACTGGCAATGCCTGTAGAGTGTGGGTATTCTGCAGACCATCCAATTGGCTACCTTTGGCCTAGATACATAATTATCCTGACATATCAGATAAAGTGCATTATTGCTACTACTAATACCAATAGACCATTAATAAAGCAGGAACATTTACAACTCGAGTTTCCCAGAAACAGAGGCACAGTTTAGCTAATGTTAAGCACTTTTTGTTCCTACTTATTTCAGTGAAGGGAGATATGCTTAATTCCTTTTAAGAATCAATGAGACTTAAAAGGGCTTAACAGCTACCAAATCATGCCCAAAGTTTACCGAGTGAACAATAATGGCTATCAAGTAGTGAGGTGCTCAGACTAATGCAACACCTACATGTTTGTTTTCAGGGCTTGCACAACTGCTTATCTGCCAAAGATGAGAGAAGACAGTTTCCTCCCAAGGCCATTTATCAGAGAAGCTCATGATACCTCGACAACCTTGGCTCATCAGTTTGGCCGAAAATGCTCTTTCTGATTCTTCTCCTTAACTAGCCTTTTTTATTCTGTAAAATCTCTTTTGAGAAAGAAAAAAAAAAGGGGGGGGATCAATAACAATTGGCAAACATTGGGCAACTTATAACACATATCTATCTGGAGTTCTTTTTTCTCTTGTACTATTTGACTGCATCCCTGGGATATTTGATTTACAATTAAGCCACAGGGATACATATTATATTGAGTAGAGAACTATATGTTCCCAAGCTTTTATTTGCTAAGATAGCATGAATATAAGGGCAGCGGTGGGCTTATAGAGAGCCAGTTTGGTGTAGTGGTGAAGGCATCAGGCTGGAAACTGGGAGGCCGTGAGTTCTAGTCCCACCTCATGCACAAAGCCAGCTGGGCAACCTTGGACCAGTCGCTCTCTCTCAGCCCTGGGAAGGCCAGGACAAACCACTTAAAACCTTGCCAAGAAAACTGCCATCGCCAGGAGTCAACCCTGACTCCAAGGCATCAAAAAAAAAAAAAAGTGAGAGGTCAGCTTCATCCTTCCGATGCAACCTATTTCATTCAATTCTATCTTAAAGTGCCCTACCATCTCTTCTCCTTAGGTGGCAAAATGGAGTTTAGTAATCCATTCAGCCCAAATTATAAATGCTTTTTATATTTATAAATATAAAACTTATATTTTCATTGAAATGCAAGTATTAAATACAGAAGGATTGATGTTCCAATTCCTCTGACAGCATAAGACCTGCTGCCACATTTCCCCTGCCAGCGCTGTCAAGGCATTTGAGAAGCCAGGAATAGACACTTAGGTAAGAGGTCATCAGAGATCATGACACTTACACTCCTTGTGGAAAATCATCATCAAAATGATAGGCACATTGTGTGCTATCATTTTTTTTAAAGTTGTACGTAAGTCCAAAATAAAACACATTAAAAATAAAATAAGAATAGAAATGCAAAATGGGATAAGAATGTTACAACTGATGGCAGATTCATTGGTGGGCAGTCAGATGTCTAATTTTACAAGCACTGTAACAGAAATTGGATACATTCAGGGAAATTAAGTCATACCGATCTGAAGACAGGACTGTAACTATGTATAAAAACAGTGATCAAAATTTCCTGTTTCTTTTACTGGGAAAGGAGTTATAAGGCAGGTCCTGGGATCCTTATAGAGGATGGAGCATAACGGGGCATGAGTTGTAGTTTCAATAGCTAATTAGTGGTAAATACTGTATATTCCCTTCATGTGGATTATTATAGCCCAATAATGTCAACTCTGGATGGAAAGTGCAGAAAACACTCATGTTTTCTGTCCAGATCGATCACTTTTGGTGATGAAGGTATAATTTTGGAGCATACCTGATGTTCCTTTTAGTTCTTAAGATAAACGCTATATACCGGTGAAAGTAATGAACAGATGTATTTAGCGAAACCATCCAGCAATAATGCTATTTGCACAGTCCTTCATAGCCCATAAATTACACCCTCCGCTGATCTTTCTTTCCAAGACCCAATTCCCACTGGATATTCTCCAGGCAACTGGAAAAAGTAGGCAAAGCTTCCCTCTTGTTAACAGGGCTGTGTATGAACCAGGCATAATTTCCTATATTAAGGAGACAGATTCAGAAGAGGGGGGAAAAAAAAAACATTCTGAGAAAACAATTATTGTATAATTCATTGTTCATGGCACTGTATAAAGCACTGACCTTTTCAGGTTCACAAGGACTGAAATGCTTTCCGTATCGGAACTGATGAGGTGGTGGAAAGACAGAAGTGGTTATCTTTAAAACAGCTTTCGCTGGATGATCTCATTACGTCGCTTACGCAACTGCATTCAATTCATTTGCGCTGCCATGATCGCAAACAAAATCCAACATGAGGAATACGTTCTGAACATTTCCACTTCTGGCTTTCAAGATACACTTTCTTGATCCGCCACGCTAGGCAAAACATGTAACATGGATATACTGTATAATCCTAAAATGGGAATCAGTCAAAACGAACGAGCAAACATTGCAAGGGCGTTTCTCCTGGTATGAGATAAGCAGTTCCAAGGCGTCAGAAGAGGGGGCACAACTTACATTGGGATCGGCAGGGACAAACCATTCTACTTTTGTTCCCAATCCACAGTTCCAATCCAAATTTGGCCAGCCGTTTATTTGGGTAGGGGGCATATACACAGACGAACCTGCATGAATATCACCACATCTCCTTTGAATGGAGTGGTGGAAGAGAATGAGTAACAAACACTGCCACTGTGTAACCACAACTTTTCAGGAAGCTTGCACAGTGAAGGAGAAGGTGCAGTCCTGAACTTCCTCACGTTAAAAAAAAGCAAAAGCAAAGCAGTGGCAGCGTTAAATGGCATTTGCTCAAGATGAGAGATTCAGGTAGATTACAATGACTGTAATGTATGTCACAACTATAGGAAGGCACCACAAATTTGCAAAATATGGCAGGCTGCCGTTTCCCACAAATTCTTGGAACAAGATAAAGTCATTCATATTCTTAACAGATGTCAGGCATAGTAAAACACTGCAAAAACGCTAGTCATAGCAAACCCAGTTTTGGCTCTCAGCTCAGAACATAATGACTTGGCAAATCCGCAAATAGAAAGAGGTACTCTGCAGAAATAAACTGTGCAGCAGGCCACACACAATGACGGGCCTCATAAATTGCTGTAAATATTTATGAGACTCTAAAAGCTTGATTAAGAACTAACAGTGTACTTACTATCTTTAAAATTCTGCAGCCCATTGTATCTAACATGGTTAAAAGGATCATCTGGAGGTAAAGTAATTAAATCCCCTAATCCAGACCCTATTACCCACCAAACCAAATGCAATTTGCCCATTCTTGTTTTTGTAATTCAAGATAGGCAGCATTGTATGAAATGTATGCCACTTCACCTTGCACGGAGGGTCAGTCTATATCTCAGTGGCTGGGCTTCGGTGCCTTGCAAGTCTAATACACATTTTCAACGGAGCAGATTGACCAGAGTGTGCCCTTTTTCATGGCATTTTAGCACAGTGAGGGTTTCTTAGACACTGAGAGTTGCAGTTGATCATGGATTCGAAGTTGTAAGAGCTTTGAACAGAGACAGATTAAGTTATTTATTGATTTTATATATACTAAGGGAAAGAAGCTTTTTCAATCAGAGTGTGTTTTATAAATAGATTAGCTAATCACATCATCTAATACACAGAGAAATGTTTCCAGAAGAGTACACATATACAGTTTTAAAGCAAATATATAAAATTAAAAATGGAGGCAAATTTAATAAATTTCTAAGGCATTTTAAAAGAGTAACCAATGCATTATGACATATATTTTCCTGAATTTGACAGGGATGGGCAATTCCTATCATTTCTTACTACACTAGCCATGCTGGGTTGAGGCTGATAAAGTTCAACATATCTGGATAGTCCCATATTGCTTACTCTTAGTTTGGAGCCTGATCTGCATATGATTTATTATATGCCATCAATTTTTTGTCAATTCTTAGTGATTTTCCCCATGATGATCTGTCCCTAGCCTGGTCCTTCAGGTCTTTCAGTGGTACATCCATCATCTCTGTAGCTGAGTCCATCCATCTTGCTGCTAGTGATACTCTTCTTCTCCTTCCTTCCACCTTTCCCAGCATTAGAGCCTTCTCGAGAGCTAGGTCAAACATAATGTGTCTGAAGTAGGATAATTTGAGCCTGGTCATTTGTGCCTCAAGTGAGAACTCTAGGTTGATTTGTTTGTTGATTCATCTCCAACATCAAAAGCATCAACACTCTTTCTATCTGCTTCTTCAAAGTCCAGCTTTCACTTCCATAGTGTCACAGGGTAAACCATTGCCTGCACTATTCTGATCTCTGTAGTACAGACACATCATAGCATAAGAATATTTTTTCCAAGGCCTTCATTGCTACTCTACCAAGTGCTAGTCTGTGGCATATTTCTTGACTGTTTGCTCCTTTACTATTGATATGCATATACCTTTCTGGAGAACTCATATCAAGATATGCTCAGTTCAATTTCAGTAGCATTACATTACCTTCCATACAGTATGCTTGCTCAGTTCAATTTATCTCAAACTTATCTTTTAATTCATGTACTTGTAAGCAAGTAAGTATGTACTCTTGTTGGTACAAATAGTGCATAAGACTATGATAGGGATGCACAGAGATTATATGAGCATCACATAAAAAGTTGACTACAACCTGATAGAGAGAGGCCATGGTGAGTTGCAACAGGCAATATCCAAGGACCCCAGGGAAAAAAAGAAAATTTCATTTAGCAATTCAAGTGAAGTTTTTCTCCTCTGGTCTTATAATTCATTACTGCCATTGGCCTAATATTGACTATGGTGCCACTATTCCCCTCAGCTGAATTTTTTTTTGCAATAGGCTTGTCTTACACAACTATAAACAGGAAAAGCCCACTGATGGGTAAATATTAACTTTTAAGAATGCCACCATTTCTTTTCCAGCTCAATCACTGAAGGAAGCTTGAGCAACTTTAGAACTGGTTTTCTTATTCAAAGCTGTGCAAATGAAATTGCCAGCTTCCATGACTTTGTAAAGATCCACACCCTAAAATTGAGGAAGAGAGAGGAGAAAGATAGAGAATTATTTTTAATATATATTTTTATATATAACCACTCAAGATATTCAGTAGGAGAGAAAACATGAGCATGCTGAAATCTTTCTCTGAGTCTGCCTGTCTGTCTTACCTCCTTGCCTACTATACTTTGGTGTCTTGCAGCATTCTAATACATTATGTCCCCAATGCTTTTTAACATCTACATCACAAACACAAAATCTCCAGATTACATTAGTTCAGGGAATTATATATGGGTCTGCCTCTGAATATGGTTCAGAATTTGCAATTACATTGTCTGAATGGACCTGAATTGTCCAAAATTCAGAGTGATAACCTTTTAAAATTATTATTATTTTTGTCCCTTCAAGCTAGTGTTGACTCCTGGCAACTGTCTGCACTAGTCCCTGCAGTTTTCTTGACAAGATTTTGGAAGTAGTTTGTTCTTGCCTCCTTCCTAGGGCTGAGAGAGAGTGACTGGCCCAAGGTCACCCAGCTGGCTTTGTGCCTAAGGCAGGACTAGAACTCACAGTCTCCCAGCTTCTAGCCTGGTGCCTTAACCACTACACCAAACTGGCTCTCCAGTCTGATAACTACAAGAGAAATATAATCATATTACACCTGTGCTCTGGAAATAATACTGCTAGTTTGTGCCTCAGTTTAATTCAAAAATTTGGCTCAGGCCCTTTACTACTTCTAGTAGTAAACAGAATATCTGAAGGCCCCAGTTTAAATACACTATGACAATTAGTGCTCTATTTGAAATGCAGT